GTAATGATCAGTTGTGACTCGCAGGAATAGCTCTTTCTAAATCCATGTTGAGCGTCGTCTAGTATGCCATGGGTTTTAAGATGCTTGGCAATACTACTATAAATTATGTGTTCTAAGATCTTACATGTGACAGCAGTCAAGGAAACTGGACGGTAGTTACTAGCACGTAATTTGTCTCCTTTCTTGAAAATTGGTACGACAAAGGTTTCTTTCCAATCTTGTGGTATGATGCCTTGATTGTTTGATGCATGGAAATAATGTTGTAAATGATTCTGCCAGATATGATGCAAGATCTTTGATAAGTCTTGTTGGGATCTCATCTGGACCAGCTTCTTTGTGGATATTACACCATTTTCAGTTTAGTGTATTTGTGGCCCTAGTCAGGAATGATATTAATATCCTCACTGGTTTTAAATATGGAGGAAAATATTTGCCCTTTTTTCGCTTTCTGAATATGTGAGTTTTTTTGTATCTTTGAGAGGTGGAAAAAATTCGCATTTCTGACTTTTTATAAATCCCCAGAATCTTTTAGGATTTGCTGATAATTCAGGGTTAATGATGTCGTTAATATAGTCTCTATAAGCATTCCTACATTCTTTTTGTGTTGAGCTTTTCAGTCGATGCCATCTGTCAAGATTAGGTCTGTCTTGCTTTTTAAAAGCTACTCTTATTCTGTCTTGTTAATTCTCACCTGCGAAATCTCTTCAATATTATCTCTTCATAAATAACAAATGTGTTGATTGTTATAATGGCACGAAGATATAAAGGATATTACAATCTATCAAGATCGTAATTTGCATTGCAATATTAGGTTTGTCCATAGAATTTCCGTAGCGGATTGTTGATTACTGCCGGAATCATTAAAATGAGGTCAAGGTTAGATGAACCTTGTCAGACTGTGATATACACAGCACACTAGTTCTATACAACTAATATTTAAAGTTCTAAGAAACAAGCCTAATTACAAAAAACTTTACTTAACCAATGAACTGTTAAATGAGGTTGATGTGAGGGATTCATGTTACACGGAAATGCACACCTTACAATTGTTCTACATACCAATTATACTTGAACTATTGCTAAGAGGATCTGAGTCTGAAAAGGAATAGGTAAATAATTTTTATGGAAGAATTCAAGGGAGCAAGTAGTTAATGTTTAATGGACCTTTTTTTAACATTTATATAGTGAATTTTAAGGTTGTACTAAAGACTCAGCTCTAATAGGTATGGTGTCTTACATAATCTAAGGCAAATCAACCAAAGTATAGGAAATAAACTCAAACCTCTGTTATAGTTTTTGATAGGTACCTCTTGTTTTATAAAGCTAACATACAATTTCATTAGCAAAGCATAAGACCCTGTTTTCCAAGTTTAGTATTCATCATGTTGGTAGCTGGAGTACTGGACATGTTTTTTGAATTTTTCTTTTAACTTTTAGGGCAATGTTTACAGATATAAAACCTCACCATGTTTTGTGCCTATACACCATGTCAGGATAGTGGAGTCCGAGATTGATTTGCCAGCCTTTCAGAACTTAGGCCATGGGTCCAATGGCCCCAACATGTCATAAAAAGGCTGTCAGACGTTGGGGCCATTCTTGAACTAGCTATGTAATTCATTGTATGTTTGAGAGGAGTTGTGATTGGTGTGGTCAGTTGTACTGTGTTATATTTTTGGTCATTTCTGTTATCTTTGGTATGTTGTTATATTTTTGTTGTTGTCATTTTTGTTATCCTTTTTATGTTGTTATATTTTTGGTCATTTCTGTTATCTTTGTATGTTGTTATATTTTTGTTGTTGTCATTTCTGTTATCTTTTTATGTTGTTATATTTTTGGTCATTTCTGTTATCTTTGTATGTTGTTATATTTTTGTTGTTGTCATTTCTGTTATCTTTTTATGTTGTTATATTTTTGTTGTTGTCATTTCTGTTATCTTTTTATGTTGTTATATTTTTGTTGTTGTCATTTCTGTTATCTTTTTATGTTGTTATATTTATGGTCATTTCTGTTATCTTTTGAATGGTGTTATATTTTTTTGATAATTTCTGTTATTTTTGTATGTTTGTTATATTTTTGGAAATCTCTGTTATCCTTTGTATGTTGTTATGGTCATTTCTGTTATCTTTTTATGTTGTTATATTTTGTTGGTAATTTCTGTTATCCTTTTTATATATCATGATGATGAAGTTAACCACAGGAAAGATTAAATATGTAATGAATGAGATATTTGTGACTGAACAATTACACCATAGTTTCTGAAGTCATAATTTTTAAAAGACACCATTCAATTAACTAGTTGTTTTTATCTTTAATACCAAAACATTAGAAACAATATTGTTGTGCGACTGTTTGTACTGGTTTGTAGTGAGGTATATATTTTATTATAAGGCTCAATATGTCAATAACCAGCAGGGAAAAATTTCACTAGTTATCATATTTGCCTTCGGTGAAACTTATTCCATATGTATATTCTCTCTGAAATTTACAAGAATTGACTGGGAATGTTTCAAAAATCTTACAAGGATATAAAAATCGGTGTCAAGTGAAAATTTTGTGAAAGACTTTTTCAAATAGCCCAATTTTAAACATGCAAAAATTGAACTATATACATGTATTTTGTTTAACAATGCAGAGGAAAATTCAGCATTAATAATAATGTTATATATTAATATGATAATATAAATTGACAGTGAGGCAAGATTCCACTTTCATTTACCTAATGGTTGATGGAGAAGAATAAATTGTTGAAACCAGGTATTTTGTTTCATCTTCAATAAATAACAGTGACCAAGCAAAACATGCAATTGAAATCAGCTGTGTTTGAGTTACTGAATTACTAGAAAACAGATCAAGTTATACAACTGGTTAGATTCTGTAATTTTTATAAGATATCTATCTTTAACTATTGTAAACAAAATAAAAAGACATCAGAAAATGAAAAAATTTATTCTAAAAGGTAAAGTTTACATGTATAAAAACATGAACATCATTATATGTGTAAGTATATATGCTATGTATATTTGGCACAACATTCAAGATTTTCTCCAGCAGGTACATTTAATGTACTACAAGCTAATATATATCTTGCTACAAAATAATAAAACCTTCAGGAGTTTGTTCAGAGATGAATTATAGAGATTCTTCGTTACTTAGATCTTTCTGTCACATTCAACACATTGTCATATTTACCAAAATTGGATTAGATTTGAAAGTAATGATACATTATTATTCAGCAATTCAACATGATTGATATAGCCTATTTACTTCTGAATGCCCTAGATTTGTGAGATCTAGTTAAGGAACAAACAATCTTTTCAAAATAACTGGATGATTTTTAGAAATCTCACAATTGATCTTAAATGGAAAAAAGTTATAATAAGAGCCATCATTTAGCCCCTACACACTTTTCTTAGAATAGAGAAAATCTTCAATACTTTCAAATTATGTTAATTCTATAAGTAATGAATATGTTGATTAATCTAATCACTTTACTGCAGAAATGTCAGTTTGGATGTCACTTTGGTGTCATTTACATGCCAAAAATGAACATATCTGATTACAAATATCTGTTTTATTCATTGTTTATGCTAAATTAAAATGAGCAAAAAATATTCTATTTTTTCCCAAATCAACTTCTTGGATCATATTATCTACAAGGGGAGGCTGATGCTACTATCTAAATATCAATGAGAAAACTTCAAAATGAGGTTATTTTGGCAGATTTTTGCAATTTTGCTTAAGATGCATGAAGTTTGAAAGCCTAAAACAAAGATTTAAACCAATATTAAATAATTTAAATACTGATTTCTGACAGTTTATGTGAGCATTTGCAAGACAAATTTGTTAATTTTATAATACTCTTTGATTTTGGAATTTAAAGGGGCCAAAAAGTGGCCATATCATGCCTTCTCTTTGCAATCAAGTTTTATGAAGCAAACGCACATTTCAACATGTTCAATGTATAAAATGAACTGTGTTTTGTATTAATTTTTATTGTATCCATCAGCTTTTTACAAGACCACCAAAATTTAAATTTGGATCATGTTCATTAATGTTGGTAAGTCTCTTTGATTGGACATAAGTTCATAGCATAACTCCTATACATACAGTCCACGGTGAGAAATATAATTCTGAGGTCAATAACTAGCCTTACCCAATATCAACAAAGAAATTATTGACAAGAGAAACATATTAAACAGATACACAGGTTCATGTTTAATAAAAAAAAAAACAAAGAATAAATGCCATAAAAAATAACATCAGAAAAATGTAAACTGCAAAATACTGAAATTGTTCAAAATATATAATTTTAACAAGTATATACTGAATTGCAGCAAATTCTTGGTTGTGTGAGATCTAAATAATTGTCCAACAACCTCAAATGAACTAGATTTTAACCTGAAAGAACAGAATTATTTCCCCTTTTTATGGCTGTATTTGTCTTTTCAACAATTTTTGCAAAGTTACATTTAATAACATTAACAGTTTCTTAAATTGGAAAAATTGTCCTCAATTATGTAAAAAGTTCAAATAAATATTATTAATTATTGTATAATTGCACAACCCAATATTTTAAAATTAGTGTATAAATATGCAAACAGTTTTCTCAATAGCAATATAAATAGCAAGAATATTTTTATGCTATATTTCAGAATTCTTAAAATCTTTTCTTGTTTCATTTCAATAGAATTCTTAAAATCTTTTCTTGTTTCATTTCAATAGTCTTATACTTCAAAGATTCAAGAAAAACAATTTAATTTTTGAATAACTATCAATTAGGGTATTTTCCAAAACAATGCATTTACTGTAGTCAATAAGAAATTTGTGTGTTTTTCTTTGATTTCTATACAGTAATAAGTATTTGTAACTATTTTAATTTTAAAACTTTTTTACATCATATTCTAAAACTTTACTTTGTATTGATTTAGATCATTCATTAATCTCGAAAGTTTGTCAATATGTACAGTTCCATTTTCAACATTCACTTAATCATGTTAATAGCAGGTACAATGTATTTGCCTCTCTAACAAACACATGTGTCACCATACATGCATGTACAATGGAAAAAAGGTAGAGGGCTAAAATGTGATTTTAAAAACCGATGGCAACTTAGTAACAAAGAAAATCATACTGTGTAACTTTGAAACTAATTGTTTATGTAATAATTTTGAAATTTGTAGAAGGTTCTTCAAATATAGACAATTAAAAAGAAATATGGATATATATCTATGGGACAGCAACCCAATTGTTAACTTTTAAACTATTTTTGTACTTGTAGTTCATGATCAGCCAGTTTTGTTTGAATCAATTGAAGCATAATAGTTTTGCAATTTTTATTTTGCAGATTGGCAAAAAGCAAAGCTGGTAGCAATTCTTTTATAAGTACTACTATTCTTAAGAAATTTCATGATCACGATGATTGAAAATTACCTCTTATTATATTCAATAGCAAGAAAGAACCAAAATTCTATGTATGATATCAAATAGATTTTTTAATCGATGGTATCTGTATGGTGTTTGGCAGATTTGATAACCTTGTCTACAGATAAATGTTTCTTTTCACTGTAATCAAACACTGCTTTTGCAAGCTGTGAACGGCTAGCTAAACTTTGTGATTTTCTTTTATTACATCGTAACTTCTCATCATCTGTGACTGGACAATCAAGCAATTTCCAACGAATTCTGAGTGAAGGTTCAGCAGCTCTGAAGACATGGAGATTTTGAATGTTTAAGAATATGTCTATTAATGAAGTTTTTCTTGTATCACTTGGTGGCACATGTTTCCTACTGTTCATATAGTCAGACATGTAAAATGAGCTGTGTTCATAGGAATCAACGTCAAAATGACCATATTTCTGACCGAGCTCAACACCAGGTGGATAGGGGGACTGTTCATATGCTATATTCTGTTTATATTGCCAGAAACTAATAGGAAAAAAGACTTGAACATTTGGTATGGTGTTCATACGGACTCGATTCAAGTAATCAATGTCCATTTCCATACCGACACTACAAACACTTACTAGATCTCCAGATTGTAAATCTCTGACAACGTAGTCCAGTAGAGCTATTTCTGACCTATCAGAAGTCTCTAACACCTTCCATGTGACAGTACCCTTTCTACTGGGATGGTTATTTAGATGGTAATCTATTACACTTTTGGCAACAGCAAAAGGATCACCACTTTTCCCCTCCTTCTTCTCATACACAAATATAACATAAAGATAGGAATTATCGCTTGTTTCTAAGACTGTTTTTGCAAATCCTTCCATAAAATTCCCAAAATCTCCAACATCACTTTCATACACAGGCAAGATTAAATGTATTTGAGAATTTTCTGTCACATATGGCATGGGGACAATTTCCACTTTACCTAAAGGACGGAGTAAATGAACTCGTTTCTGTACTGTCTTTTCATGTCTATGTTTCCCATACAGTTCTAAATCTAATGTGTATTCCATGCCTCTTGAGGGCTCAAATCTTCTGTATCCGTTTATAAGTTTAAACTGTTTGAATTTGTCACCATAATTGCTGGTTAATCTGTCAAACGCTATCTGTTGAATTTCTTGTATATCTTGTTTGTCAGCTCCTGAAACCATGAAACATTAAATTTTGTTAACAATAATACCTCGACGAAATATAATCTGACATACATTGAAATCAATTACCATAATAAAATTTCATTTTTGAATATGTGTCCCCTATATTAAACTACTAATAATGATATTAAGTCTCACTTCCAGTTAAAATTAGATAATAATTTCCTCTAATAAAACGTTGGTAAATTATAAAAGTATCATTAAAGTATTCATGTAAGATAGTTGAAATTACCTTGTAATGGTCTAACGTTGGTAAAGTCATCATTAAAGTATATATGTGTGTCTGTGAAGTAGGACCACTGTAGTATATCAAATCTTGTGTTTGGTTTAAAGGCTTCTGGCACACCTGTTATGTAGAAAGAACAAAATGAATTAACATTTTTAAATTTTAAATTAAATATATGAAGGTATTTTTATTTCTCACATTTTATTTTTTTGTGAGGTCAATTGTTTTTCATTATTTTCAATGTAGTGACTCTTACTATTTGATAAGCCAAGACATATTTACTTATTCATGAAGCAAGGAATACTTGGAATGATATATAGTGTATGTGTTTTTGATTATTTCTCATATAAATATACAGAAAAAAACATGACATTATTGACTTATTCAAATGTTCAAGCATATACCTAATATGACCTGAAGTTTAGCATTGTATTACCTTTTACTAGGATCATAACAAACCTTAATAAACAATTAATTCACAAAACACATTCCAAGTTAATGCTTGCATTGAGTTGTCATGATTTTGAAAAGAGAGAGATAATGTAATTGCTTAAGAAATTTATATCTTCTACCACTGGTGGAATACAGTCATTCCCATAGATATTTTAAACAGAATTAATATTATTATTTCCCATACCTCTGACAAGGGGAGGAAAACAATGACTTAAAAATTCAATATATAAATGAAGAAATTAACATAACAAATTTAATGCATCTTTTGTTCAATACAATGCAATTTTTTCACCAAAAAAAAAAAACACTGAAATTAATTTTTAACTTTCTCTGAAAAACAGAATTTTTGATCCAAATACCTATTGGCCACTGAAGAGAACCTTTTCCACCTGGTGCAAATTCACTCAAACCAATAATACTGTCCTTGGCTTTCTGAATTTCTTGACGAGTAAGGTTGATTTCCAACTGACAAAAATATCTGAAAATAGTAATTGATTTATCACAATATAAAAGACACTATGAAAACTAATTGCTTTATTGTATTTTTTTTGTTAACCAATCATATTACAATGGAGATTCAAAGGAACCTTGTTTGTATGTATAACTCTGACTAAATAATAATACATGTTTCACAGCAAAAGCCATATTAAGCCAAAATATACGTAGTTTTTCAATATGTTTTTTTAGTTGCTTTCCAACAATCCTTTTCAATAAAATGCTAACATGGCATAACTAATCATTTTGTTGCATAAATAACAAGCTACAATGTGGTGTTTTTAATACAGAGATATATATAAGATATCATTGGATATATTGAGAATGAACTGTTAAACATGGCATCATTGTAGACATATTAACTAATGTATAAATACAAGCTACAAACCTATGTATTTTATACAGGGATATATCATCTGGCATTGGATATATTGCGAATGAACTGTTAAACATGGCATCGTTACGTAAACTTGTAATGTCATCATCAAATTCAAAATCATCTACTTTATAAGATCGAAAGTTTTTATCCTAAAAAATATAAAATCTACAAATAAGACTACAATAGATGCAAATGATGAATTTTTGTGACAGTTGATCTTTTAATACATGTACATCAGATGTCTATACTTTTACCAAAATAAACTTGATTCTTTAAGCTGAACAACTGTTTTAATGAAATGACTGAATTTCAAATTTATATCTAATAAAATGCTCCGCTGGGGCGCAGCTTGATACGACCACAGAGGTTGAACCCTGAACAGTTGAGGCAAGTATGGACACAACATTCAAGCTTGATACAGCACTGAATTTGGATTGTAATTAAATATTTGACATGGCATAGGTTTCTGACACAGAATGAATGTGGTCTAAGAACTTAAAAAAATTTTGATTTAAATATTCAAACCATATCATTATTATTTGCTTTTATATATAAATCAGAAATAACCAATTTAAAATGGAAAATTTAAAAGAAAAGAAGAAAAAAAAAAACCCCCCCCCCCAAATTTTTTGAACCCCCTTATGATTCATCACCCCCAAACTCAATCCCAGCCTTCCCTTTGTGGTATGGTACCTTGCAGTACAATTTCAGAGAGATCCATACACTTCAACACAAGTTATTGTCTTGAAACTAGAAAAATGCTTGTTTTTTGGCCCCTTTTTGGCCCCAAATTCCTAAACGTTTCGGGGAATTACCCCCAAACTCAAACCCAGCTTTCTCTTTGTGATATGGAACCTTGTAGTACAATTTCATAAAGATCCATACACTTACACACAAGTTATTGTCCTGAAACTAGAAAAATGCTTGTTTTTTTGCCCCTTTATGGCCCCTAATTCCTAAAATTTTGAGGCAATTACCCCCAAAATCAATCCCAGCCTTCCCCTTGTGGTATGGTACCTTGCAGTACAATTTCAGAGAGATCCATACACTTCAACACAAGTTATTGTCTGGAAACTAGAAAATTGCTTTTTTTTGGCCCCAAATTCCTAAACGTTTTGGCCTATTACCCCAAAACTCAATTCCAGCTTTCCCTTTGTGATACGGAACCTTGTAGTACAATTTCATAAAGATCCATACACTTACACACAAGTTATTGTCATGAAACTAGAAAACTGCTTGTTTTTTGCCCCTAATTCCTAAAATTTGGAGGCAATTAACCCCAATATCAATCCAAGCATTCCCTTTGTGATATGGAACCTTGTGGTACAATGTCGATAGATCCCCCCTAGAAAAATGCTTGTTTTTTGTCCCTTTTTGGCCCCTAATTCCTAAAATTTGGAGGCAATTATCCCAAAATCAATCCCAGCATTCCCTTTGTGATATGGAACCTTGTGGTACAATGTCAGAGAGATCCATACACTAACACACAAGTTATGTCTGGAAGTTACAAAAATGTTTATTTTTGGCCCCTAATTCCTTAACTGTTGGTACCATAACCCCCAAAATCAATCCCCACCTTCCTTTTGGGGTATTGAACCTTATGGTAAAATTTGATAGAGATCCATTCACTTAAACTAAAGTTAGAGTGCGAAAACCCATGTGTCTTCGGACGACGACGCCAACATCATACCAATATACGACCGCAAAATTTTTTGGCGGTCGTATAAAAACTGCCAGACCCTTCTATTGTCTGAAATGACATGATTGCATGTAAGTATCCTTTATATCCTTGCTTGCAAAGGTGACTACTGTAATCCAACTTATTTTTATGGATACTTTATTAAGCGTTTACCCCCTTTTTAGCGCACTGCAGCAATTTATTTCGTGATTTTCAAATTTACTTGATGTGGTTAAATAAGGAAAGATCCTAATTTTACATATTCTTAGTGAAATATATTCGAATTATTTTTCTACTCACGAGTCCAGAAAATAAATTGCTCACGAAAATTAGTGGGTTTACAGTATTTCCTTTTATTACTGAAGTAAATGTAGGATTTCTTTCTTCATAATTGTGAGGCATATTCAATGGACCTCTGAAATCTTTAAATCTGCTTGCACATGGTGACAATGATGGCGTATTTAGTTAAGCCTTTTTCAACTGATATTTATAGTTTGTTCTTATGTTGTGCTGTTACACCACTGTCCCAGGTTAGGGGCAGGGTTGAGCGCTCACAAACATGTTTAACCTCGCCACATTCTTTATGTGCCTGTCCCAAGTCAGGAGCCTGTAGTTCAGTGGTTGTCGTTGGTTCATGTCTGTCATATTTGTTTTTCGTTAATTGTATTGTTATAAATTAGGCCATTAGTTTTCTAAATTGAATAGTTTCACATTTTTCATGTCCCGGCCTTTCATAGCCGACTATACAGTATGGGTTTTTCTCATTGTTGAAGGCCGTATGGTTGCCTATAATTGCTTACATCCACTTTATTTGAACTTTGGTGGATAGTTGTCTCATTGGCAATCATACCTCATCTCCTTAATTTTATATTAGTTATTTTGCTAAAATTTCTAAAACAAAAGAGAATTCAACAAAATAAGAATATGAAATGCATAGAAATTCAAAGAATCTAAATTATAAACATAAATTACCCCTCCTTTTTCTGAACACTTTGAATTGGCAGTTTGTAAAATACAAGCTTCAAATGCTAGGCTTGGGTTCTGTTCAGACTTCAAAAAACAGGAATCTATTTTAGGATATACTTTCGTTAAAACATTCTGAAACAGACAAATATGAAAACATTTGTTAATATCATGAATATATAACGATGATCATGATGATGCAATAGAAATGTTAGTATTTATAACAAAAGTTTAAAAATAAATGTCAGCGACATGGAAATTATCAGATCTTATTAGTTCCTACATACATACAATTATCTTGGCAAATGTTGCCATGATTCATAATTTTTTCATGTGAGTAATAAACAAGGTCATGAATGATGATGATGCTATTTTACATTAGGATTTCCTTTTACCTGTCAAAATTGTGTGTTACAGACATCTAAAAAATGTAGTTTATAACAAAATTGTGTGTTACAGACATCCAGTTTATAAGCAAAAGTTTACAATGTCATCAGTACCACATGAATGTAGGAGTGTAGATAAATGTCATCAGTACCACATGAATGTAGGTGTGTAGATAAATGTCATCAGTACCACATGAATGTAGGTGTGTAGATAAATGTCATCAGTACCACATGAAAGTAGGTGTGTAGATAAATGTCATCAGTACCACATGAATGTAGGTGTGTAGATAAATGTCATCAGTACCACATGAAAGTAGGTGTGTAGATAAATGTCATCAGTACCACATGAAAGTAGGTGTGTAGATAAATGAATAATATATGTATCATAATTATGGCTATAAATTTGGAACAAACAGGTCTTTAGTGAGGGGTAACAATACAAAGTCTAATTTAAATTCATTGACCTTCCATTAATTATAAAAATAAGAAGATGTGGTATGATTGCCAGTGACTATAGGACAGTCACCGTACATTAAGTTAACTTCAATTACTGAATTAGCAAAACTGAATAAAAAAAATTATTGTCCTAATTTATGTACATGTAGTTATAAATTTATGAAAAAAAAAGATTTAGATGGTCATCAGTACAATCTGATTGAAGGTGCATATTTTGCAGGAAACTTATTCTGTTGTTCAGTGGTTATCGTTTGTTGATGTGGTTCATAAGTGTTTCTCGTTTTTTATATAGATTAGACAGTTGGTTTTCCTGTTTGAATGGTTTTACACTAATCATTTTTGGGCCCTTTATACATGTTATAACTTGCTGTTCGGTGTGAGCCAAGGCTTTGTGTTGAAGACCGTACTTTGACCTATAAATTTTGACTTGGATGGAGAATTGTCTCATTGGCACTCATACCACATCTTCAATTCTTATATCTATAAACAAACTTAAAATAAATAAAATTCCAATGTCCCCTACATTGCATACATTTTACCTGTCTATGGTCCAAGGGCAATAACTTTTTATAAATATCTTTTGAGAAATGAAGGCTTGAGAACAAATGCATTGCAATTCCTGATAAAATATTTCCAAAGAGCATACATGTAACTCGTTAAAAGAATTTATTAAAGAACTTATTTCCAAAATTGTCCGACACATTGCTGATATAAACCTATGATATAAGTTTCATAAAAATCTGGCAAGAATTGTACCTATCAGAGCGCTCACAATGCAATTTTCCATATAATTAATGTTTCCAAGGGGCATAACTCTTTTAAAAATGATTGATTGGCACTGATTTTCAAACTTGTCCAAGACATTGCTAATAGCCTACAATACAAGATTCATAAAAATCTGGCAAAAATTATACAAATGAGAGTGCTAATGATGTAATTTTCCATTTAAATAATGTTTCCAAGGGCACAACTCTTTAAACAATTCATCAGCACTGATTTTTCAAACTCATCTGCGACATTGCTGATATAAATATATGTCATAATGATATAAGTTTTATAAAACTACGTCAAGAATTGTACATGTGAGAGCACTAACAAGATTGGATGGAAGGACGCCCAGTATTTCTACATGTACGAGTACATTGTTTGTCCCTCGCGACGCATTGCACTGGGGACAAAAATGTCCGAGGACGCTTGCAAGCAAGTTAAGTACAAAGATTACAATATTTGTGACTAACATTTACTTACGACATTGGTCTACAATGTACCTGGATATAAAATTGTTCAACTTGCTCTTTGTTCAAGACAGTAAAAAGAATGCTTTAATGAAATGTATTTTGATCTCTTTTTGATTGTCCTCAATTGGTATTTTGCACAAGTTAAATCTAAAGTGATGTTCAGAGCACTGATTAATAAATTGCATGTACATATACCTGTGAAAGAATAACACCACCGTCAAGTGTACACATGTCTCTTTGGTCACCTCTATGTAATATGGCTCCCATATGTACCTCTTCACTGATACTGATGTGTCCAACAAGTTCATAAAGTTTTTCTCCTCTTATATAAGTACGATCAGTGATGAATAAGTAATAATCAAATGTACTTGCATAATGTTCCTTTATGTATTTAAGTGCGTGTATTGGAAGTTTCTTATGGTCCTGATCAGGAAAACTAATGACTTGCATCCCAGGGGGAGGCAATCCACTTTTACCATTTGTAAAGAAAACTGTTTTTGTAACATAATGTGCAAATGTTTTATTCAGTGCCATTCCAAAGGAATTGACTGTGTGAGGGGTGGACAATACTCCAACAAACAGCTTTTCTCTTATACCAAGTTCAGTTGAAGCAAATCTTGGTCGAACAAATTTTTTACCATCATTCATTTCTTCACGCTGATATTTTTGCTCATGAATGTAGAAATCATTCCCATCTGATTCAGTCTCTTGCTCATTCGCTTCACCTTTTCCTGGTTCTTGGTCCTTGTTTTTAGTATCTAGCTCATGGACCATCTTTGTTTCTCGTAATTTAATTAAACTTTCTGTATCCTTTGTATCTATGGGATCACACAGATCATCAAGAAATGGTGCCACCATCATGTTTAAGGCTATACCCATGCAGATCCCTATCAAAACAGGTAAACATGATCTAACAAAGCTGTTTCTCCCCAACAAAGACATGTCAACAAATTGTTTTCACCTCTTGTCAATCAAAATTATCTGGGATGTAAAATATCATGCTTTAAAAACTTAACATAACCTCGCCTATACTATAAAAAGTATCTCAAATTACAAGTGCCTGTGTTAAATACGTCATTGATTTATGTGTAGGTCAGTTAAACGCTTTTAAAAAGTATATTTTCTTGCTGTTATAAAGAGCAATATAACCAAGATCAATAACTACTCAGCAAAATGGATCAGGTAAAATACCGACAAATCCAATAATTTTGAAAAATAACAGTAAAGCATGTTCCCCTCCATAATTTTGTCTGTACCAGACGATGGTTGACATTGTGCCTTGGCAGTAAGAACCCCTACCAACTGAGCTGAAGGAGTTCTCTTGAGGCTTTTCAATTATTCACTATTCATTTTTTTTTATGTAGTATAATAAACAATATAAAAAACAACAGTTGTTAATTTATGTATGAATTTGCAGTTGTTTCAAAAGTTATCAGACTAGACTGTTTGAAAAGCAGGTCAACCAAATAAATAGTTTATTTTGATCGATTGTTGGGTAATGATTCGTGACCTCAACTAGTATATGATTTCAGTCCTATTCTTCTTCTTCTTGGGTCCTACTAAAAAGGGCCCGGAGGCGCCCTGGGGGAAAGAAAAAACGCCCGGGGAAGAAAAAAAAAGCGCCCGGGGAAAAGAAAAGGCACCCAGGGAAAACATATAGATATTGTATTGGCATGAGACAACTTTGTGTCAATGAAATAAGTTGTGCACATTGATTTTTTTTTAATTTTAGACAAGTATTTTGCAAATTCAGATAATAGACATTTGTAATAAAGCACAAAAACAAGTATGAATGTTTCAATTTTACCAATAATATATGAATACTATTTCGAAAGACAGATAATAATGTTTATGCTGAAGATTTATAAAATGTTAGATGTAATGCTCTGCGTAATTGAACAATTTTGTGTAGTTTGTCTATAAGGTCTGGGAGTTTAACAGCTTTCCAATTTGTCGATAGTTTTTAAATATTATTCATGGATTCACATGAATTGTTCTTCCAGTTAATTGGGGCAATGTCTTTTTGTATCGGTTCCCAGACATAGCTCTTCAGAGATGATGTATTACTGCTAAAATAACGTTGAAACGCAGGATCACTGTGCTCATACTTCGCTTCCAACTCCATTACCTTTAGGTCAAACTCAACATCTTGAGAAGGGAGGAGACCATGTACGCAAAAACATCGTTGAGCACAGTGTTGTAATTTGGGTCTTTTTCGCCAATGACTTTCCGCAAATGTCTCTTAAAATGATATGTTTAGATTCTGATGAGCAGAATTTTTTCAGATCAAGAAGCTGTTCATCAGTATACACTACTACTGATGGGGGTTTGCCAGAGATCACAATTGTCGCAGCAGATGCTTGCAATTTTACAATTTTACAGCATATTCCACAAGGCCAGAATATCATTTGCCTTAGCAGTGGGTTTAACTTTTCTTTTCTTAGTGGCAGGCATGTTGAAACCCTTCCACGATCTTCCACCGTCAATTCAAGTGTGTTTAATAAAATACAAAACTTTGAAAAGTGTTCACCAAGCAGTTGCGAATATTAGACCTCGGGCATGTCGGGCACTGGTTTTTTTTAAATAACGAAATATACGTTTTGATTGAGGACAATATCGTTCATGAATCTTCTATATACTCTTGTTTATATTTACTAACTTACTTATATAGAATTTTGAAATCTAAAATGTAAAAGTGCAACAACACTATCTACACACTTTAGATGTAGCATCGTACATATCCCAATTTATATTAAGGACAAAACAAGCAATGACTATTTTTTTTTTTATTCAGGAAAACATTTATTGTCATAAAATATTATTATTTTATTCTCCCGTACGCTTTTTTTCTTCCCGGGCGCTTTTTCTTTTCCCCAGGCGCTTTTTCTTTTCCCGGGCGCTTTTTAGTAGGACCGTTCTTCTTTGATATATTAGTTAAACTCAGTAATGAGTACTCAATACTTGTGCGTTACGAAGGTGATTGTAATGTCTATTTACAATAAAAGATCAAAGATAAAAAAAAAAATTCAATCCTAATGTTTATAAATATCTGTGGTGACAAAATTTGTCCAATCATGGATTGATATATTTAAATTATGTTTTAACACAATTCAATTGCAATATGTTTCTTTTGACTGCAATGGTTTTCGAGTTGAAGTTTATAGAACCACCATCAATCTTGAACCTTATGGCACTTCTGATTTGTAATTGTAATATTCCACTTATTTGCATCATTCTCAAGTGATACATGTATTCTTTCTGTGCATTTTTTTGTTTTTTTTCACATGTTGATGTGATTCAGATTGTTCAAGTTTTCCTATTTGGTCACTAAAATCAACAATTGCTTCAAGTTTTAAATATGTTTCCTCTGATCTTTCACCATTCAACAGTGTTAATAATGGTGCAGTGTTGGTGTTTCGTGTCCCAAGTACTGGTGTTATATTTTGAAATGTTGTTTCTCTGTGCTGTTCATACAAGGGGCACTCTATGAGGAAGTGTTGTCCTGTTTCAATTCCTCCAAATCTAAACAGCTCCATTAAGGACTGACTTAGCTTATGTTTATAATGGTTTTGGTCCACATATCCTGTACTCAGTTGTGTCAAGTATGAAACAACTTGAGCACAGAATTGTATGTGAAATGTTATTATTTTACCACCATTTAAAACATTTTAAATAGGGGAAACTAACATTTAATGTTTGTAATCACAGAAGACAACAGAAGTTCGCATACACATAAAGGAAATGTTCAAACAAGCTCTGATAAAATTTCCTTATAAAAAATCTCTCTAATAGCACAGGAAGTGGTAAATATACTTAGTATGTCTTTCTCTAGATATTTAAATGCTCTTTGAGGTAATCTGTGTGCAATCTCTTTTTCCTGGAAAATTTCTATTCAACTTTATGTATATCATTGTATATAGCTATCGATAAATTAAATAAAAAGTTTTTCTTTGTTCTTGGAAATACTTTTTTATTCGAGAGTAATTTTAAATGTCCATCAAACCGTAAGTCTGTTTACAACCACCAGAAACTAGATCTGATTTTAACTGAGATTCATATACATTCATTTCTAAAAGATAAAAAGTGCATATACAATGAATTAAAAGTCACCATGAATTACATACGTGCACATTGTTTTTCTGCTTTTGCTTAACAGGATACATTACCATGATTCCAGTAAAGGAATTTGTTAGCCCTAATTCAGTGGTCATAAATATATTTTTGAAAGGAATGACAATACAAAACAAGAGACCATAGCCCTTACAGAGAAATGATGCCCTAGGTTATTGACTGAATCCCTGACCTTTTCAGGAGAACCTGTCATCTCATGACTAGCAGTTTTCAAATGTGAAATAAGTTCCTAGTTACTGGTTAACATACATGCATATGGTTAATAAAATCATTAATAAATCCTTTAAACAAACTAGTAAATTTTACTTTGTTTATGAGGACTATGCAAAAGTGCAAAATGATATAAAAGAAGAAGGAGAAGACAGGCGAAGGATACCAAAGGGAAATTCAAACTCATAAGTCAAAAATTGACAACGCCATGGCTAAAAAAGACGAACAGACAAACAACATAGAAAACCAAAGACTGAGCAACACAAACCCCACCAAAAACGGGGGTTGATCTCAGGTGCTCCGGAAGGAAGCAGATCCTGCTCCTCGTGTAGCAACCGTCGTGTTGCTTATGTAAGTACAAACACTAATTCAGTAGGTCACATTCGGGGGAAGGGGACAAGATTGTAGTTATGACATTTGATATTTACTACAATTAACTCCTACATCCAATTTCATCATCTGACAGGATCCTGATCAAGCTGATCAGTTTTAACATGTTTAGATTAGGAAAAATTTATAACCACTGGGAAAAATACAATGTATATCATTAGAATGAATTTCTTTGATACACAATTGTCATACAAAGCATTTATTTTTTGGTTTTAGTCTTGTACAAACTATTTAACTATCTGTAACATCTGTGAATTTGTTGCAGAAAATGGAAGTTGATGACAGTACAGTTAATCATGAAGGAATCAAACAGTATTACATTAGTAAAATTGAAGAATTACAGGTAACATATGTATTCACCAAAAGTCAGAAGTATTGAATACTGATAATGTTTACTTTTAACACATTTAAATTGTCAAAACAAGAAAATGACAACTGGTAAGAAACAAGGTTTAAGCTTATGAAGTCTTCTCCAATACAAATGTAAATTACTTATTTTTATGATTGCGCACACAAGATTTTATTACAGCAACACATATGTATTTTGCAGTTTTTGTAGAATAAATAGATTGTTCACTATTAATATGTACCTGTGTTTACCTGTAAAATGAATACTAGTCAATGTAATGGTAATGCACACAAATGCAATGTTCTGGGAAATATATATTATTTAAAAGTATTACTAAAAAAAAGATGACTGAATTAAAATCTTACAATGATTCATCTCTAACTCTTATATTGCTCATGCATATTCAAATTTATGTTAGGATGTATTTGGTTGGATTATATTATTCTTCACAGTTAGTAAATACAGAAAAGACACAGAATTTAAGAAGATTAGAGGCCCAAAGAAATGAATTAAATGCTAAAGGTATATATATATATTCCTGAAGATTATGAATGTCTACTGACTATTGTTTTTTATTTTTTGTTTATGTGTGTAAGTCTAAGTGTGCCAAGTTTGACACATCCTTCTTTATAACACTTGGGTAAATGTCCATCAGAGCATGTCATTACAATTACCTCTGATATTGCTTTTACTATATGTAATATAACAAACCAATAAATATTGATGTATGCAAATAACAAGAAAGAGATTTGATCCTAAAGAGTCTAGCTCATTGCCTGATATAGAGTAGAAACTGATCCTAAAGAGTCTAGCTCATTGTATGATATAGAGCAGACACTGATCCTAAAGAGTCTAGCTCATTGTCTGATATAGAGCAGACACTGATCCCAAAGAGTCTAGCTCATTGTCCGATATAGAGCAGAAACTGATCCTAAAGAGTCTAGCTCATTGTCTGATATAGAGCAGAAACTGATCCTAAAGAGTCTAGTTCATTGTCTGATATAGAGCAGAAACTGATCCTAAAGAGTCTAGCTCATTGTCTGATATAGAGCAGAAACTGATCATCTAAATTCCTTGTTCACTGATTTCATGGGAACTAATCCACATTTTCATGATAAGTTTCTGCAGTTATAAGGTTCATGTTTCATATTAATAGTAGAAGTGTGTTTGATGTGGGATGATCTGTATTTGTGTATCTGTGCTTTGACATCTGCTTAAATATCACATATAAGAAAATGGAAATTAATGATTTATAAAAGTGGTAAACATTAGAATATATTCATTTTGAGAAATTACTTGTTCCTTATTATACCCAACCTTAAGAAGTAACGGGGATATTTAGTTTTTGACGAATCATTCTATCTATCTGTCTGTATTGGTTTTCATATGATAAATCCCAACCTTACTTGGATATATATAGTCTCAAAAAATGAGAGGAAGATCCCTGTTGATTCTCAGCTTTTTGAGCTCACAACATCTAGGGTTGAGGTCAGAGTTGCTCAAAATAGTCTGAAATTAGTTCCCAGATTTTATTTCATTTACATAACATTTGGACCAAATTTCATTATACAAAGTATAGTAACATATGAGGGGACATGTTTAGCTCTTTACATCCCAGATCAAACTAAGTAGAAATCGAGTTATAGGAACAATGACAAAACATTAACAGTGAGATCTCTAACAACTATCAACAAAAATGTATAGTAAGTCAATGCATATTAAAGTAAAGGAAGGCGTTTGATGGTCATAATTACCCTTTTTTTGGAATAAAAATTTTATTATACTTCTAAGCTATTGCTTACTAGAAATAAGGGTTGTAAGTTTGCTGTCTTAATTAGTTGTCATTTAAATCCTGCACTTAAACAACTCAGTTCTGCTTGAAGAAAGAAGTGATTCAGCAATGATATAATTTATTCAAATAACAAAGTCATCTATTCACATCAAAGAAGCAGATTTATGGATGTGAATGAGTTACCTAAGGGGACCAACATGATCCTTCCACAGAAATAAAAAAACAAATGCGATACAGTATATTGAGCTCACAATATCAATGAATCCTATCTTATGAATTCTTATGTTTCAAAAATTAAAAATCATTTTAACATTTTTTTGCTTTAGTTCGAATGTTGAGAGAAGAATTACAACTTCTACAAGAGCAAGGATCCTATGTTGGTGAAGTGGTTAAAGCAATGGACAAGAAAAAAGTTTTAGTTAAGGTATAACATGTTGAATTAGATATCAGATGATAGTTATCTACATTATACAATGACAGTAACCACCAGGCCATACGGTTGCCTATAATTGCTTACATCCACTTCATTTGAACTTTGGTGAATAGTTGTCTCATTGGCAATCATACCACATCTTATTTTTATATTATGACAAAACTGGAAAAAAATTGTGATAGCATTTTCTGCGATGCCAGTATTGTTTTAATGTATAATTAGTCACAAGGCCTAAAAAAAATATTTGGTTTCCTGCCTCCAACCATTATAAAATAGGGTCGGTTGGGATTTATTTTAGTTAAATAATTTGGCTCTCAATGCTTTTTCTTGAATAATTTTTTAGAAAGGCAATAAAATATTTTAGGGTTGGAGATCAAACTTAGTCGGGAGGCAGGAAACAAGCATATATTTTTTTTGGCCTAGTAGTCTAGGAACACTTGTCATTCAGTTATTGTCTTATGTAAAATTGATATGGAATAAATAGCAATTCAATATTTTTTCTTTATCAAAGAATTGTAATTAAACTGACAAATTGATGATAAGAGATTGTTGCTATTAAGAATTATTGATAATTTTTTTTTGTGATGAACACATTTCTCATACACCTAGGAGATCTAAAGTAATTTGGCATGAGAATTAATACTTTTTATTTCAAATAATATACCAGTCATAATCATACTACATTGAACAAATCAATGTTGTTAAAACTCGAATTGCTCTCTAATGATCATTTGTCTGTTAACTGGTGCAACAAAAAAGACAATTTGGGAAGTTTGAGTACTTTCAAATGAAAGTCAATTTTGTGTAATTAAGCAAACATGTTTACATTTTAATTATTTGAAGGTAGCTATATAGAAACTTGTTGAATAATTCCATTGGGCAATGATAGCCATTACGATATATTACATCAGTCATAAAGAAGTAAACAATGCCATTTAAACCATCTTTATTTTCAGGTGCATCCAGAAGGAAAGTTTGTGGTAGACTTAGACAAAAATATAGATATCAATGATGTAACACCAAACTGTAGAGTGGCACTGAGAAATGACAGTTATGCTCTTCATAAAATATTACCTAATAAGGTCAGTCTTATTCTTCACCAAACAAAATTTCATATAACACTATACTGCTATTAACATAAAGTCACTGGCAAAGCAATGTTTAGCTTACTTGGCCCAAGGGCTTCCGTCGTAGTTGTCCGTAGATAATAGATAAATAGACCACTTAAACAAACCAAAATGATCAGCACGACAAGATCTACAAATAAGTCAATATGGCCAAAATCGTCAGTCAACTCCTTAATGGAGTTCTTGCTCTTTAATAACAATTTTTACCAAATTTTGGGGTTTTGTCTCTTATATTGAAAATTATCAATAAACTCACCATATATACCAGGATTAAAATTTGTGTATGTCAGACACATGTTTTGTCTACAAACGACTTATCAGTGATGCTTGAATAACAAAAGTTAAAAAGGCCAAAAAAAGTATAAAAGATGGACAAAAATCATCAGCAAGACAAGATCTACAAAATCTAATTTTGCCGAAATCGTTAAAAGACCCTTTATAAGATTGATTGTTCTTAAATGACTGTTTTTATGCCCCGCCGTAGCGGAAGGGGTCATTAAGTTTTACCCTTTGTCCGACTGTACGTCCCAAAAATTGGTTTCTGTTCTCTAACTTTAGTTTGCCTCAACCAAATGTTATGAATCTTATACACAATGCTTATTACCACAAAACACAGATCAAGTTTGAATTTTGGTGGTGTTACTTTTACAGTTCTAGAGTTATGCCCCTTTACAAAAAGAAAAAATGGTGAATTTTTCGTTTCCGTTCACTTACTTTAGTTTGCTTAACCAAATGTTATGAAACTTATACACAATGCTTATTACCACATGACACAGATCAAGTTAGAAATTTGGTGGCCTCACTTTTACCGTTCTAGAGTTATGCCCCTTTATAAATGGAAAAATTGCTGAATTTTTAGTTTCTGTTCTCTTACTTTAGTTTGCCTCAAGCAAATGTAATGAATCTTATACACAATGCTTTATACCACAAAACTCAGATCAAGATTGAATTTTGGTGGTGTCACTTTTACCGTTCTAGAGTTATGCCCCTTTACAAATGGAAAAATTAGTGAATTTTTAGTTTCCGTTCTCTAACTTTAGTTTGCTTCAACCAAATGTTATGAGACTTATACACAATGCTTATTACCACATAACACAGATCAAGTTTTAATTTTGGTGGTGTCACTTTTACTGTTTAGAGTTATGCCCCTTTACTAATGGAAAAATTGCTGAATTTTTCGTTTCCGTTCTCTAACTTAAGTTTTCCTCAACCAAATGTTATGAAACTAATACACAATACTTATTACCACAAAACTCAGATCAAGTACAAATTTGGGTAGCGTCACTTTTACCGTTCTTCAGTTATGTCCCTTTATAACTTTATATGATATGCAAGGGAGGGCATCATCTGTGTCCCATTGACACATTCCCCATTTATTTTTTTTGTGACAGAAATAAAACTTCTTCAAGAAAACATTTTATTGCCTGTAAGACATATAAAATTCCAAATATATTCAAAGCATATATAGCATGTGACTTGATTAGATGAGGTCTGCCATAACATTCCATAGATGATGGTCAGATAATGTGGAAATAAGTATGCACAATCACAGTAACCTTTCTGGGATTATTTTTTTTGTGTAGTATGTCACATGTAAAAATTATCTTAATAATGCTATAAATATTGAAAAAATCTACACTTCAGCTCTGTGTATGAAATGTTATACATTCAGTTTCACTCCATGCAGTTATTTATTCAAAGAAAATTACAAAATTTACATAATTTATTATAAAGTTAATGTCACATTAGACCATGGTTATTTTTTTTATATATAACATCTAGATTGGAACATGCTATGCCATCCTTAAATAGGCAGATGTTTCAATATCCATTAGATGATTGAAATTTAATCACAAGTCGTTATTTCTCCATTGTCTACAGATTAATATGTAGTAAGTTTAATGATGGTAGGTTACAGATGTTAAGAGTTTTATTATATGTCATTTGTATATGATTTCTCCATCATTTATCAGTTCATCCATCCGTCATATCACTGATGATAGGAAAAGTTCCAAATTCCCCAAACAAGTTACTTGGAATATTAATGACATGTTACATATGTTATAACTCCTTTGTTATAGGTTGATCCATTAGTAAGTTTGATGATGGTGGAGAAAGTTCCAGATTCCACAAACCAGTTGCTTGGAATTTAATGACATGTTATACTCCTTTGTTATAGGTTGATCCATTAGTGAGTTTGATGATGGTGGAGAAAGTTCCAGATTCCACATATGAGATGGTTGGAGGATTAGATAAACAGATTAAAGAGATCAAAGAAGTTATAGAATTGCCTGTTAAACATCCAGAACTATTTGAGGCATTAGGAATAGCACAGCCAAAGGTATGATAGCAGGAGTAATCACAAAGATACAATTTACACAGAAAAAGAATAAGATCGATGCAAATATAGAACTATTCAAATGTTTGCACTCCGTCTGTCTGTCCATCTGTCAGTCCGGCAAATCAGTTTTCCAAACTTTTTTTCTTCGTGCTTGAAGATATTGATTTGATATTTGGTTTATTGATTTATCATGACAAGTTACAGGTCAAGTTCAATTTCACGATTTTAGCTTTTCTCTTTGTTCAGTTAAAGCCCTTTCCCTAGAATTAAATTTTTGATGAAATACTTATTAATTAGTAGATTTCTGTTCAAAGGGAAATAACTCATTTTTTAAAAGACAAAATGACATTTTGGATTTTTTTCCTTTTCTTTGGAAAATGGTTTGAAGAATTTAGTGGTAGGTTTGTTTGTCATTCTTGAAGATATTGATTTAATAATTAGTGTATAGTTTTATCATGACAAGTTACAGATCAAGTTGGAATTTTGTTCCAGTCTGATAATTTTGTGCAGAGTTATAGTCTTTGGACATAGAAAATTCACTTAAATAATCAGTTTTCAACAGTTTTTTTTGTCATGCTTGAAGATTTTGACTTGATATTTTTATATAGTTTACACCATGACAAGTTATAGATCAAGTTAGAATTTCTTTCCATTACAATGAATTTGTAACGGTAGGGAACTATGTATTGCCATGCAATACTCACAGAATGCTTGTTTAAAATCATATATATACTCAGTTGTTTCAATAAACCACACAGTTACAATCCAAGTGGAGAAAATTGTAAAGTAAGTTAATTATTTTTTTGGCTGACCATTTATATGACCTTTAGAAAGGAAACGCATACTAGCTAGAGTTGTAGACTACCATACAGAATGTTTTTTATCATCCTCTATTTCAGGGTGTCCTTTTATATGGACCTCCAGGTACAGGAAAGACATTACTGGCTAGAGCTGTAGCCCATCATACAGAATGTACCTTTATCAGAGTCTCAGGGTCTGAATTGGTTCAGAAGTTTATTGGTGAAGGATCCAGAATGGTTAGAGAGTTATTTGTTATGGCAAGGTAGGAATAAAATAAAAATTATTTTGAAGATTTGTGATGATTTGAAAATAGAATGTTTAGAGGTAAATTAAGAGGAAATATTTTTGTTTGGACAAAATGTAAAAAATAAAAATAAATTGGAGAATTTTTTCTATGAAAAAGTCAAATCTCATTTGTTTGACAAAGTGCAATAATAAGTTTTTCAGTAATGCAAACATGTCTTGGAAGAAAGAAGTTTCCATAAAAAAAACATTTAACAATGAATGCAGAGTTATCAGGGCTTCAACATTAACACTTGGGAAAAATTGATAGCAAATCAAAATTAAAAATGAACTTCTTGATTTAAAAAATCTTCCACTGGAAATCTCTGATAATTATTTAAACATAAATATCTGATGTTGTAGAGAGCATGCTCCTTCAATTATTTTCATGGATGAAATTGATTCGATTGGATCATCACGTCTGGAGGGAGGATCTGGTGGTAAGTTCACAGTTCATACATATATTTGATATTATAGTGGTACAGTGTCCTGTTTGTCATACACTTTCAAAACAGTAAATACATAAAAGTGAATAGTGGTCTGCATGGAGGTCATCAATGCGTCCCTAAAATAAGTACACACAGTAATTTACAATTGGTATACAATTTTTGGATTTGTAAAGTGTTATCTCCCTTAGATAAAACTTGAAAATGTGAAATAACAAGTTATATTTTTCAAGATATTTCTGCATTATATGGGTGAATTAAGACTTATTCATTCACACTTTAAGGGAATTGCAGATGAATTGTTGTTCTGTTGATTGGTTTTATTTGTTTGAATATTTTCAATTTCTCAATTTGGTATAACATAACTTAAGGAAAGATAGATGGTTACCTTTTTCAAGGTGCCTCCCTAGAATACTCTGTGTGATATTTTGGGGCAGCCTGTATAAAATATCTTCAGTTTTTATACGACCGCAAAAAAATTTTGTGGTCGTATATTGGTATGACGTTGGCGGCGTCGTCGTCGTTGTCCGAAGACACATTGGTTTTCGCACTTTAACTTTAGTTTAAGTGAATGGATCTCTATGAAATTTTACCATAAGGTTCAATACCACAAAAGGAAGGTTGGGATTGATTTTGGGGGTTATGGTACCAACAGTTAAGGAATAAGGGGCCAAAAATAAGCATTTTTGTAACTTCCAGCCATAACTTGTGTGTTAGTGTATGGATCTCTCTGACATTGTACCACAAGGTTCCATATCACAAAGGGAATGTTTGGATTGATTTTGGGGGTAATTGCCTCAAAATTTTAGGAATTAGGGGCTAAAAAAGGGGCAAAAAACAAGCATTTTTCTAGTTTCATGACATTAACTTGTGTGTAAGTCTATGGATCTTTCTGAAATTGTACTACAAGGTTCCATATCACAAAGGGAAAGCTGGAATTGAGTTTGGGGGTAATTGCCCAAAACGTTTAGGAATAAGGGGCCAAAAATAAGCATTTTTCTAGTTTCCAGACAATAACTTGTGTTCAAGTGTATGGATCTCTCTGAAATTGTACTGCAAGGTTCCATATCATAAAGGGAATGTTTGGATTGATTTTGGGGGTAATTGCCTCAAAATTTTAGGAATTAGGGGCCAAAAAAGGGGCAAAAAACAAGCATTTTTCTAGTTTCATGACAATAACTTGTGTGTAAGTCTATGGATCTTTCTGAAATTGTACTACACGGTTCCATATCACAAAGGGAAAACTGGAATTGAGTTTGAGGGTAATTGCCCAAAACGTTTAAGAATAAGGGGCCAAAAAGGGGCCAAAAATAAGCATTTTTCTAGTTTCCAGACAATAACTTGTTTTCAAGTGTATGGATCTCTCTGAAATTATACTGCAAGGTACCATACCACAAAAGGGAAGGCTGGGATTGATTTTGGGGGTAATTGCCTCAAAATTGTAGGAATTAGGGGCCAAAAAGGGGAAAAAACAAGCATTTTTCTAGTTTCAGGACAATAACTTGTGTGTATTTGAATGGATCTTTATGAAATTGTACTATAAGGTTCCATATCACAAAGGGAAAGCTGGGTTTGAGTTTTGGGGTAATTGGCCTAAATGTTCAGGAATATGGGGCCAAAAAGGGGCCAAAAAACAAGCATTTTTCTAGTTTCCAGACAATAACTTGTGTTCAAGTGTTTGGATCTCTATGAAATTGTACAGCAAGGTACCATACCACAAAGGGAAGGCTGGGATTGAGTTTGGGGGTGATGAATCATAATGGGATTCAAAAAATTTAGGGGGGGATTTTTTTTCCCTTTTTTTTTCTTTAAAATTTTCCATTTTAAATTGGTTATTTCTGATTTATATATAAAAGCAAATAATGATGATATGGTTTGAATAGGTAAATTAAAATTTTTTAAGTTCTTAGACCACATTCATTCTGTGTCAGAAACCTATGCTGTGTCAAATATTTAATCACAATCCAAATTCAGTGCTGTATCAAGCTTGAATGCTGTGTCCATACTTGCCCCAACTGTTAAGGGTTTGACCTCTGCGGTCGTATCAAGCTGCGCCCAGCGGGGCATTTTAAGTAGTTTCTTATTATACCAAATAATTACAACTTATTTTCTTGATATCTTGTAGGAGACAGTGAAGTACAGAGAACTATGTTAGAATTATTGAATCAGTTAGATGGATTTGAACCAAAACAAAATATCAAGGTAAATTCATGAATCCTGTTTTGTACACATGTGTTCTTTTTGTCAAGCTAGAAATTCAATGGTCTAGGATCTGTCGCTTCAGCTTCAAAGGGCACAATATTATTTTTGGGTGATGTTCTATCAGTGTAATTATGTTCTGACTGGACTGTTGAAATATATTTTGTAACATCCATTCAGCAAATAACTTGAGTAAATACTTATATGAACCTATTGTGTCCTTGACTTGCATTTCTATATCAGTATAGTCAACTACTGGTATAGTAAAATCAAAATAGAATGGTTTTATTTAAGAGGTGTTTTATGCCCCAGCCGTAGCCGAGGGGGCATTAAGGTTTACCCTTGTCCGTCTGTACGTCAGTCCATCTGTACTTCTGTACGTCCCAAATTGGTTTCCGTTCTCTAACTTAAGTTTCCCTTGACCAAATGTTATGAAACTTATACACAAAGCTTATTACCACTAAACACACATCAAGTTCGAATTTTGGTGGCGTCACTTTTATCGTTCCTGAGTTATGCCCCTTTATAAATGGAAAAATTGCTGAATTTTTCATTTCTGTTCTCTAACTTAAGTTTTCCTCAACTAAATGTTATGAAACTTATACACAATGATTATTACCATAAAACACAGATCAAGTTCAAATTTGGGTGGCATCATTTTTACAGTTCTCTAGTTATGTCACTTTATAACGTTTTATGCAAGCAGGGGCATCATCTGTGTCCCATGGACACATTCTCCATTTATTTTTTGTTGTTTTTATTCAAATATGATGCTATTACATAAAATTTATTTGTTAGCATTCTCCAAATTCTTTTCAAATTAAGTGTAACAATTTTGTAATTTAAAGTTTTGAATGATGACAATTGTGATGACCTAAGATATTGTAAGTCTCAGTTTTGATTGACTTAAACTATTATTGTTTTTTTTCTGTTTATTTATTTATATATTATGCATACACACAGAATCCTGTTACTAAAATAGGTCAGCTTTGACAGGGATTTTAAGTTGATTTTCATAATTTTGTATAACTTAAAATTTTAAGAATATGGTAAGAGTACCAAAAATTGTTTTGAAAAAAATTTATTATCATTCATTTTCTCGTTAACAAGTAACACCTGAATAGCATATAAATTGCAAATAATGTATTATTTATTTCAATAGTTATTAATTCAAAAAAATTCATTTACTTTTTTAGGTTATAATGGCAACAAACAGAATAGATATATTAGATTCAGCTTTATTACGACCTGGAAGAATTGACAGAAAAATAGAATTTCCCCCACCAAATGAAGAAGTAAGAACTAATTTTATCAAACACAACATTGTTTATTCTTACATAGAATAGCTTGTCCACCAAGTGAAATCAGAAAAAAAAATTACACACACAAATTGACTGGCTACTGATTGGTGAAAATGCATTTTTGTCGAGCATGTGAAATTTATTTCGTGCAAGCCAGACATAGCGATCCTAGATTCTGTCGTTGGCAGCATCAACATTTAGGTTCAGCCTGTGGTTAAATTTTTTATGGACATCAATAACTTTGTCAAACCAACATGGAATTTTATGAAATTTGGACAGAATCAAATTGACAATGGAAATGAGGAATGTGTCAAAGAGACACCAACCCGACCAAAGAGCAGAAAACAGACGAAAGGCCACCAATGGGTCTTCAACACAGGGAGAAAATCCCGCACCTGGAGGTGAGCTTCAGCTGGCCCCTAAACAAAAATGTGTACTAGTTCAGTGAAAATGGACGTCACACTAAGCTTGTTTATCATGTTTATGACAAAAACACAGTATCCAGGGCAAAATTTTGAAAATATTTATTTTCATTTTTCCGTATTTTACTAATAAATGGACTTAAAATTGAGAATGGAAATGGGGAATATGTCAAAGAGACAACAACCTGACCAAAGAGCAGATAACAGCCAAAGGCCACCAATGGGTATTCAACTCAGCGAGAAAATCCCGCACCCGAAGGTGGTCCTCAGCTGGCCCCTTAATAAAATTGTATACTGGTTCTGTGAAAATGGACGTCACACTAAACTTCAAAACATATAAAGGAACTAGAATTAAAAAAACATACAAGACTAACAAAGGCCAGAGGCTCCTGGCTTGGGACAAGCGCAAAAATGTGGCGGGGTTAAACATGTTTTGTGAGATCTCAACCCTCCCCCTATACCTCTAGCCAATGTAGAATAAAGAAACACATAGCAATACGCACAGTAAAATTCAGTTTAAAAGAAGTCAGAGTCTGATGTCAGAATAGGTAAAAAAAGAAACTAAGCAAAATGACAATGATACATAAATTAACAAAGGACTACTAGCAGTTACTGACATGCCAGCTCCAGACCTCAATTAAACTGATTGAAAGATTATGTCTTCATCATATGACAATAGTTTTTTTTTACAGTTAACATCAGATTTTGTCTGAGGTTAAAGTTTTTCAGTCATCAATAACTTAGTCAAAACTTCATGGAAATTTCTGAAATTTGGACAGAAGCTTGTTTATGACCAAAATATAGTATCCAGAGCAAAATTTTGGAAATATTTATTTTCATTTTTCTGATTTTACTGATAAATGGACTTAGTTTTTTTTACAGTTAACAAGTATTTACAGTCTTGGGTTAAAGTTTGTTACACACCAATTACATTGTCAAACCTTCATAGAGTTTTATGAAACTTTGACAGTAGCTTTTTAATGATTAAGAGATAATGTATGAAGCAAACCTTTGAAAATAATTTTTTTTCATTTTTAGTATTTTTCTGATAGATGGACTTCATTTTTTACAGTTATCATTTACAGAGAGTCAGGGATTAATTTTCTTTTACATGAAAAATTTGTAAACCTTCATGGATTGTTATGAAACTTGGTTTTTAATGATTTGTTGTCTTTACACTTCAACACAGATTCTTAAAGATTATTCAATTCTATACTTACTTTTCAAATTGAGAAATAGGTAAAGAGTTGCTAATGCTATAGAAGATTTATTTGGAAGTGTGTACAAAAGAATACTTTGTAATAAAAACCCAAATTCAATTATTAAATGCTTGTTTTCATTTCAGGCCAGAGCAGATATCTTGAAAATTCACTCTAGAAAAATGAATTTAACTAGAGGAATAAATCTCAGAAAAATAGCTGAAATGATGCCTGGAGCTTCTGGTGCTGAGGTCAAGGTAGGCATAGAATAAATAAATATAGGACAGAAGTCACACAATATAAAAGTCACAATTCAGTTTAAACATTCTGTAGAGAGAAGTACAAATTGTGAAATGTATAAGATGCATGTTTACAGATATCGCAAACATATTGAAATATCGGACTTTGAATTACCCTTTTTCTCAAAATCTGTCTTACAAATTTTCTTTTTAATCATATGTTAATGCCATTAAAATTCTGTTTTAATGATATAAAGATTAAAGGGAGGGTCACATAATTCTTTTTTTTTAATACAAATCATTCAAGTGTATCTGAAACATCTAAAATGTTGAAAAGTAAGATTTCTTAGTAAAATGCAGTCACAGCATCACACTTACTTTTGACATTTCTGGGCTTTGTATTAACAAGCTGTGCAGATTATTCAACTATTCATACCATAAAAACTAATTCATTGACACCATGTCAAATTAGTAGGATAGGATATCCTAAACTTTTTACTATATTTACATTTATTGGCAATTTGTTCATTCTCCTTTGATCCTACTGTCTGATATTTTTAAGATTAAGGGCAGGATGTGATACTTGAAAATATTAGGCAAAATTTTTTTCGTAACAATGCAGCAACATCATGTTTTCATGTCAATCCCTGTCAATTTATCATTAAAATACCTGTGACTTCATTCATACAACCAACCAACATTCACAGAGTTTTGTATGTGTTAATATATATTTACTAACTACTAAGTTTTTTATGTAATTTAATATTGTAAACTAAAAAAATATATATTTAAGAATATTTGCTGATACAAAGAAAAGCATTTTATTTTTTTTATACTGACTTCATCAGCTCGAATAACAGCTTGCAAAGTATTAAAGTTACATACATAATTTTTTCAATGTTCTTGTGCAGTTAATCATGTTCGTGTTTCATGCAAAATTTCATATAATTCTGTGGAATCACTCATTTACGTACTTGTTACCTTAATTGAACTGTTAATATATCAATAGTCTGATTACAATTTGATAAATCTTGATAAAACAATGGTAATGAACAATTTCCTAAACTGTAAAATGAAGTTGTCTTGAAGTGAAAATTCATTTCAAGAATATTTTCATATTTGGAAAATTTTGTAAACTTATTTATTGTGCCATATTGACCTATCACTCTTGTAGCTGTCTATTAAGCAGCATATGTTTGTCTCTTTTTGACAACAGTAACAACTTAAAGACATCTAGAGGGCAACAAACAGTCTTCAACACTAGACAGTTGTCTACACAATATGTGGAGCTCTATATTGTTTGCTATCTATAATAGTTATGAATAGATTTAACAGAAAGAAAGATCTGTTATTTATACCTGAGTTTCCAGTTAATGTGTTGAAGTTTAATGACCTATGTTGATAAAAAAAAACATGTGAAAAGTACAATATTAACTTTACTTCTAGAACACACTTTTATTTCTCCAACACCACATAGTTATGGTTCCTGTGGTGAACATACTGGCAAACCCCATCTAACTAGAACTAGCAGTGATGCAATGATATCCCTGTCTGTATGAGAAATTAAAGTTCTGGTATATTATAATCATGTGATATCAGTGGAAGATATACACCTAAACGATTCAATTAACAAGATCAAATTAAGTTTGATTTCAATATTTCAAGTTAATGTTTCTATCTGTTGGAAACATATGGACATTTGATAATACACAGAATAATGTGGAGAAGTTTGACTTTGTATATAGATAGGTTGAAGGTACAAACCAATCGGTACTAGGTTATTTACAGTACATATTGTAAATAGGTAGGTTGTAGGTACAAACCAATCAGTACTAGGTTATTTACAGTACATATTTTCAAATTTCTTTTAAACTGAATGAAATCATAGTAAGTGTGTGAAAATTGCACAGATTAATGCTTTGAATAGTGTAGATGAGTTTAATATGATATTTCTATAAATGGCAATTATCTTAAAGCTGTTAATGTTTGGAATTATACAAAATAAAATGTCTTTTTCACTTAAAAGAACTTTTATGGAAAATATTCATTATAGAATTTAACATTGTGGACTAATTTTCGAATATTTTCACATTTGTCCATTTTAGCTTTTTCCAGAGAAGGCTTTATTAGTAATATGATTCCAGCAGTATTTAAATCTATTTTCAAAAATAACAAAACACTCCAAGGAAAATTCTAGTCTGCATTACAAGAAATCTAATTCTCCTGTCTGGAATTACTTTAATCTATTTTATGTTTATTGTCTAGGACAGCTTAATGAAGAAAAGGTTTCTAACAATATCTAATTTTCTTAACTTCATTTCTTCAGAGAAACTTTACCACACACAGATGTTTATAAAAACAGATTGATAAAGCTTTAAGCTTTTTAAAATTCAAAATGCCTTCATTAAACAATTTATGAGGTTCTGTATACATTTTTTTTAAAGTAAATATAGAAATGATCTTGAATGAAAAACAGACATTATGCTTAAAACCTTGAAAATTGATGAAATATATTGATGATGTTGTAGGGAGTGTGTACAGAAGCTGGAATGTATGCTTTGAGAGAAAGAAGAGTACATGTCACACAAGAAGATTTTGAATTAGCTGTAGCTAAGGTTTGTCATTTGAGAATTATACTGATGATTATTGACAGGTTTTTACACTATTATATTGGTATTATTGCAGCATTGATACCAATTATTATTGGAGTTAAATTGATGTTTGTTCCCCAAACAAGAAAATTGTCAAACTTTTGGAGAAAATATTGATTCTTTCTACAGATTGGCTAGTATTACTTTCACAACTAAGCTTTAATTTAAGTTTTTACCTTATTGGAATCAGTTAATCATCAACTTGTCGATTAAAATGATTTTTGTATCCCATCTGACAGAGATTTAAGTCCCAATATGCCTAAGAATCAGACAGTGGTGAAATCATGACAAACAAAAACCCACTCAGCTTTACATTTATTTAAGTTCAGAATGTATATATATAATGATGCATGAATATAACATTCGTTTCCTTTCCCTGTTCTGGTAATTAAAAAAATAACTTGGTAGAAATGCACCAGAAATTAATAACTAAGGGGAGATAACTCCGTAATTTGCTATCATTCTAACCAAAATTTATCTAGATATTTCTCAAATTACCAGACGCTCAGAAACAAAAGACCTACCATTTCTAACTCAGGATGAGGGTACCTTCAAAAAAGGATGGTTAGGTCGGTGGTTTTTTTTTTTTCGGCCATGTTTTGATTTTTTTCAAAATTGCCTGATTCTTACAAAGACTGGCACTTTAAAAGAAGGAAATCATGCATTCTGTCCTCAGGTTTTACTTTATTTAATGTTTATTGATAATTTCACCAGTAAGAGAGTCAAACATCATAAAGGAATGATAAAGAAAAGAGAGCTGTAAAACAAAAGAGGCCTGAAAAAGAAAAGCCAGAATATATTCAAAAGTGGCTGAGTGGTCTAAGTAGTTACTACTGTAATCACTAGCCAGTCAACACTGAGGTTGTGAGTTCGAACCCCGCTTGTGCAGGTGCACTTGACTCCAATCTTAATTGACTAGGATTGTCAGTTTTCCTATCGAAGGTCGGTGGTTTTCTCCGGGGACTCCGGCTTCTTCAACCAATAAAAACTGGCAGCCACGAAATAGCCCAAAAGCGGTGGTGCTTAAAAGTGGCGTTAAAACACCAAAAATCAAATCAAATTATATTCAAACAAGCATATTGCTTTCTTACTTTGGAAAATAATTCAGCTAGGCAGTAATAGAAGCATTTTTTTGATTCCTCTGTCCATATGGTAAATAAGGTTGGATTTGTATGATAGCTTGTTTCTAATCTGAGACATTTTAAATTATGTGGTTAAATTTTCTGGGTACCATGTGAGATTCAATGTTCCACAATTTAGAACACACATTTGCATATTATAATTGTGTTCCACTTTGAGGCACATTTGGGATATGTACCCAGATACTATAAGTAATAGGTCAATTTAATTTGGTGTAAAGAATGATTGTAAAGTGAATATGTTCCTCTGGAACATATTATCTTTTTCAAGTTTTAGAGATTAGGTTTGTTTCTCAGAAGCTATAAGCAATATGTCAACATTATTCAGTGTAAAGAATGTGGGTAAGGTAGACCATATTTTTCTTGGTTATTCAGTGTAAAGAATGTGGGTAAGGTAGACCATATTTTCTTGGTTATTCAGTGTAAAGAATGTGGGTAAGGTAGACCATATTTTCTTGGTTATTCAGTGTAAAGAATGTGGTAAGGTAGACCATATTTTCTTGGTTATTCAGTGTAAAGAATGTGGTAAGGTAGACCTTATTTTCTTGGTTATTCAGTGTAAAGAATGTGGTAAGGTAGGCCATATTTTCTTGGTTATTCAGTGTAAAGAATGTGGGTAAGGTAGACCATATTTTCTTGGTTATTCAGTGTAAAGAATGTGGGTAAGGTAGACCCTATTTTCTTAGTTATTCAGTGTAAAGAATGTGGGTAAGGTAGACCCTATTTTTTGGTTATTCAGTGTAAAGAATGTGGGTAAGGTAGACCATATTTTCTTGGTTCATAGGTCATTGTAAAGTTAATGGATTTGGTCTGTTTCTCAGATACCATTAGCAATATGTCAACAATTTTCGGTGAATAGAATGGATGTAAGGTAAAAATGTCGTCTGACAGGTTTCATATGATTTACCTCATTTTCATGGATCATTGTTGGAGAAAAATTTAATTGGAAATAACTACACTTCCAGTCAAGGTTTTCATAAACAATTTTGACCAGCCCAACATTTTTTCATATCTCTCTTTTGTATATTTTACTAAGGATATTCAAGCTAATCAGGGTAACCTTAGGGAGATCAATGGCAGGAAATTTAGTAAAGAATCATTAAAATATTTTACTCATATTTTTATTGGTTCCATTTAATAATAGTAGCTTCTTTGACAGGCAAACATCAATAGACATCAATTTGTGTTTATTGTCCGTTAATGCCATGAAAAACTTATCAGAAAGATTATTTTTGATTTGAAAACAAATATTTTGTGATATTGGCTTTTACAGTAAAAGTACTTAAAATAGAATAAATAAAATCTTTTTACATTTTCATCAAGTATTCATAAGTGATATTAGTTCTTTTCTTGTCTTTTCTTTATGCACTGGTAAATGCTTTTGAGATAATCTTGAGAAATCAGATCATAAAACTTACTTTTTACTTTGCGAGTTTTAGATGTATCTTGATGTTTCACATCTGTGCATATATATGTTAACAAAGTAGTTCTATCAATTTTCACTGCAAAACTTAATGATTTATTCAGTTTGATATTGATTTGACGAAGTAAGTCATAATCTGCTAAAATTATTAAGTTGAAATTAGTTAAACATAATAAAACACTTCAAAAGATAGATCAGTGATGAGTTTTAGTCTGGTAAACAGTTAAACAGCAGCTGCTTGCCAACTATTATAAGTGGTTTGTTAATGATATTAATAAGTACTTGTTTTCACAGTACTTACTACTCATGTCTATATCCAACTGTATAAGGTTTTTTTTTATTCCATGTTCTTTTCACCTACTATGGGTAATATGTCAACTATGTTTGGTCTATAGAATCCATATAAGTTGCACTTTGTAAATGCAGCTGTTTCACAAACCATGCCTCTTTTTGGGATTTATTTAATATTCATAAATATTTTGTTTTGTTTACTTACTGGTTCCCAGATATGATCTATGTTTCATCTCATAGAGACACAACTTGGGAATTTTACCAGTATAAATACACATGGATAGCGACCAAATTGAATCTGAGGAAGACCCGAATCGACAAGAGGGGTAGTAAAGAATTTTAGTATAAGTTTAAACTCTTAGAAGTTTGAGGCATATAAATGTTGAAAATAAGCTGCACAAGCCCTATGTTTTTACCTTTGAAAATAAAGTAGTGCATAAGAACTTTCCATTCTAGGATATTAGTTTTTACCAAACTTCATAGTAAAAGTGGCACAGTTTTAGCCGTAAAAGGAGTTCCTATGAGAAATTGCATTGTCTATATTTACAGAAGTGCAACCTATAAGGTGTACATGTCTGTCAGAAAGGGTTCACTTATATCATGTTTCAGTGATTCAAGTTAAATTTCATGAGTAGGTCAGATTGTCAGTTTCTGTAAGTATAAGGTCAACTATCTTTGGTCTTTTGAATCATAGTTAAGTGTACATGTATGTCTGACAGAGTTATTTCTAGACTTGGACATATTGTATCAATTTCTCAGTTACTTTAAAGGGGCATTAGCTATGAGATATAAAAAAATTAAAATATGATTTTTTTTGGTTCAATCATTAATGAAAGTGAAATCGGGAAATAATAATTCGCTTTTAACAGCCAGTTTGGTTCAGTTTTGTCAAAATAAGCAAAGAAACATCGCTAATGAATTGTTCACTTGCAAGTGAATAATTCGACCTCATTGAATCCGTATTCATGTGAACTTTAATTGATCCCTATAGCTAGAGATGGGTTACGCATGAACTAGGTGTGTTCAGTTATTAAATGGAAAAGAATATAAACATTGGAAGTGAAACAAGGGTAAACTATTTGGTTGACTGATTCGATCTAGAAAAACTCATTCTTAAACAGGTAAAATCATTATTAACATTATTTTTATGCCCCCGCCGTAGCAGTGGGGCATTAAGTTTTACCCTTGTCCGTCTGTACGTATGTACGTACGTACGTCCCAAAAATTGGTTTCTGTTCTCTAACTTGAGTTTGCCTCAACCAAATGTTATGAAACTTATACACAATGCTTATTACCACAAAACACAGATCAAGATTGAATTTTGGTGGCGTCACTATAACTGTTCTAGAGTTATGCCCCTTTATAAATGAAAAAATTGCAAACTTTTTAGTTTCTGTTCTCTAACTTAAGTTTGCCTCAATCAAATGTTATGAAACTTATACACATTGCTTATTACAACAAAACACAGATCAAATTTTAATGTTGGTAGCGTCACTTTAACCGTTCTAGAGTTATACCCCTTTATAAATAGAAAAATTGCAAAATTTTTATTTTCTTCTAAATATCAAGTAATTTTTAAAATTGGAGTATCTTCCTTTGTCCATGATTATAGTTGAATCAACTACAGTCAATGCTTTATACAATGCAATGTTTAATTTTGACTTCCACTGATAAAACACAGATCAAGTTGAATTTGGGTAGTGTCACTTTAACCATTATTGAGTTATGCCCCTTTATAAATCGAAAGATTGCAAATATTTTAGTTTCCATTCTGTAACTTAAGTTTGCCCCAACCAAACATTATGAAACCTATACACAATATTCATTTTACCACAAAACTAATATCAAGTACAAATTTTTTGTTTCGGTTTTCTAACTTTAGTTTGCCTCAACCAAATGTTATGAAACTTATACACAATGCTTATTACTACATAATACAGATTAAGTATGAAATTTGGTGGCGACACTTTTACCATTCTTGAGTTATGTCCCTTTATAAACATAAAAATTGCTGAATTTTTCGTTTCCGTTCTCTAACTTTAGTTTGTCCCAACCAAATGTTATAAAACTTATACACAACCATTCTAGAGTTATGCGTGTTTACAAATAGA